GGTCTTTTTTATTGGGTGAACAAAGGCATCAGAAGAAAATCTTGGAGTTTGTTCCCATACTTGGGGCTTCCAGAAGATGAGCTCCAGCAGAAGTAACCCTGTCCAGCACAGAGTCATCACAGCCTTTATTTAAAGATTTATTTTATTGGAAAGCCAGATATACATAGAGGAGAGAAAGATCTTCCATCTGCTGATTCACTCCCCAAGTGGCCGCAACAGCTGGAGTTGAGTCGATCCAAAGCAGGAGCCAGGAGCTAGAGGCTTCTGGGTCTCCCACACGGGTGCAGGGTTCCAAGACTTTGGGCTGTCCTGCACTGCTTTCCCAGGCCACAGGCAGGGAGCTGGGTGGGAAGAGGGGCAGCCAGGACATGAACCAGCATCCATATGGGATCCTGGTGCGTGCAAGGCGAGGACTGTAGCTAGCAGGCTTGTGTGCCGGCCCCACAGCATTTGTTTAAGTTCATTCTGATGAGATGCTGAGGCCAAACATTACATGTGTTAAGCCCAGTCGGACTCTGGCTCAGGTAATGCTGCGAGTCCTGAAGATGGCCAGGGGAACAGCAGGCTCTGCTTTAGGAAGCCAGCAATGCCGAGGGGAAATCAAAGACAAAGAGATAACTAAATACAGGGGCTGCAGTGGCTGTGGTGGTCAAGGAGGTGTCTGTAAAGCCAAGCTCTGCATGGCACTGGGCAGAAAAGCAGGAAAGAGGTTCCCAGATCCAAGCAGCTGTGAGGGCCTACCCCTGCCCCCGAGGAATTGAGGGGCACCCACATGGGCACTGCCAGGCAAGGCCTTTGTGGGTGGGGAGGAATGCAGATTATGTACCAATAGCAGTGAGGAGTGCAACGGGAAGGGGCGATTCATCCTCCACCGAGAGCTTGGCAGTGCAGAACTCGCAGCACAGAGAGGCAGAGGTGTAAGCAGCAAGAGCAGCTCAGGTGACTGCCAGGCTTAGGGGTCCCTGGACAGACAAGGAAGAGACATCTGGGAAGTGAGGGGCGAGACAGGCATGTAGGTAGGTGATGGGATTCTTCTGGAACCTTTTACTCCTGCATTTATTCATTCAGCAAAACCTGTTCTTGCTGCCTGACACAGGACAGATCAGTCCCTCCAGGCTTACAGTGACAGGACGATCAACAAGACACACCTCACCTAATGTCAGGTGTGACAGCAGGAAAGGTATTCAGTCCCCCTTTGCTCAAGGACAACTTTGTAAGTGATTGGGTCAGATGTGATCCTGTACCCCTAAAAGACAGACAACAGGAAAAGGGATGTCGTGAGAAGATGCTTACGAAGGTCTAAGTTCAAAGAGAATGAGATGGGTGTTTCAAGTGGGGTCATGTGCAAGGGCAGCACGCACAGTGATGTGGCATTCTAGCTGGGACACATAAGAAAGACAAAATTTGAACAAATGGGTGATGGGAAAAAGGACGCTGGAACAGCATCCCCACCCTGGGCAGCCATTCACATGAAGACAGCCTGTGGCAAGAACACCAAACACTGCACACACCAAGTGCAGCGGGAACACAGCTGCCCAGTGCTGAGAAATGCAGCATGCCAAGACCCAGGGGCTTCAACAATAGCCGTCTGTTACCACTCAGTTGTGTGGGTCAGGAGGCCGGGCGGACTTACCGAGGACCTCCAGCAAAGGGACTGCCTGGGGCTGCAGTCTTTGTGGGTCAGCTGAGCAGTAGCTGCTCCTGAATTTGGTCCTGGGACTGCTGGCAGCTGCATACCCTCCCTGGTCACTGCCAGAGACAACAGCTCCTTGCCATGTGGGCCTCGCCATAGCTCACAAGATGGCAGCTGGCTTCCTGCAGAGCACAGGAGGGAGGCAGCAGAAGAGAGAACGAGGCAGCCCCCAGCCTGGTTTATGTCTAGGGGAACATGGAACACGAGGCCTAGTCCACACTCCGGGGCAGAGTCTCCTTCCAGTGGGTTAGAAGTGCCTGCTCCAGCAACAGAGTAGGACCAGGTTGGAAACAGGACAGGTGCACCACTGAGAGCCATTAGAGCTACCCTGTCAGCTGAAGACACGGCCAGAGAGACCCCAGGGCAACTACAGAAGCCAGCGTGAGGCAAAGTGAAGTGATGCTCCACTCTAAAGGTCCCTGTGAAGGCCTATGCCACCCCTGGAAGCAAACACACACAATTTGATCAGGTAGAAATGGTTAAACAGTTTCACAGATAACAACCACCTCAGCGCAACCCACCCACCTGCCTTGACTGCACGTTCCTGAAAGCCCAGAGCTGACACCCCATCTCTGTGAGTACTTTTCCAAGAACAGGAGGTTGCTTTTAGCAGCTTTCACTTCCGAAGCCTCGAGCAACAGCCAGAAAAATGTCTCATGTCTCAAGATGCACACGTGATGTAGGTAACCCAGAGATTTACGGAGCACAGTACCCCAGAGGGATTTGTAAAAAGGGATAGTAACTGTGGGGTTCACATTACCACCACATCCACCTGTTTTGTTTTGTTTGAATAAACTACTGCTTTAGGGCCCGACACATTGCCTAATGGCTAAATCCGTGCCTTGCACATGCCAGGATCCCATATGGGTGTCAGTTCCTGTCCCGGCTGCTCCACTTCCCATCCAGCTCCTTGCTTGTGGCCTGCAAAAACAGAAAAAGGCGGCCCAGTCTTGGGACCCTACACCCACATGGGCGATCCAGAAGAAGCTCCAGGCTCCTGGCTTAGGATTAGCTCAGCTCCAGCTTTGTGGCCATTTGGGGAGTGAACCAACTGGTAGAGGATCTTTCTGTCTGTTTTTCTCTGTGTAAGTCTGTCTTCACAATAAAAATAAATCTTGAAAATAAAATAGTGTTTTAATGATGCCTTGGCCTCTGAACCACTCAGAAACCACTCAGGGGGTTGCACTGTGGTGCAGTGAGCCAGGCTGACACTTGAGACAGTAGCATTCCAAACTGGAGTGCTGGGAGACCGGAGCAGAGTTCCTGGGTCCCAGCTTGAGCCTGATCCAGACCTGGCTGTTGTGGTCACCTGCAAGAGTGAACCAGCCAATGGAAAATCTCTGTCTCTCCATCTGTCACCCTGGCCTTCACATGCATTAATCGTTTAAAACAAAATTGGGGCTCGTGCTATGATGCCATCCAATGGGTGCTGGTGTGAGGCTGGGCTGCTCCACTTCTGATCCCTGCCTGTGGCCTGGGAAAGCAGCAGCAGATGGCTCAACTGCTTGCGCCCCTGCCCACATGGGAGACCTAGAAGATGCTCTTGGCTTTGGATTGACCCAGCTCTGGGCATCGTGACCATGGATGAAGATCTCTCCTTCTCTGTGCTTCTCCTTCTCTGTAACTCTGCAACACAACAGGTACTTGGTGGTCCAGCTGCCCCTGTCCTCTGAACAGGACATGTGTCTCCTGACGCCCGCAGCCTACCACAAGCACACAGCGTCCCAGGCCTCCATTTGAGTCAGTAGCTTATTTGCCAGCTCTCAGAGGAACCAACTGGCCGGCTTCTGGGGTGCTCACTGTTCGGTTCTGATCTGATGGATGCGGATGACCCCCTCCCCAACCCCCCACTCAACCCCACAGCCACCCGCTTCTCCCAAGTGTGCCCTGGGAGGTAGGTGGAGACGAAGTCTAGCTGCCAGTGCAGACTGCCCGCCGTTGCCACCCCACCCCAGGGCTGGCCGCGGGGCTGACCCAAAAGGAGCCTGCCACCAGCAATGGCTGACCTTTTGGATCTTTATCAGATAAAGTCCAGATGACGGAAACTTCCAAACGCCCAGCACTCAGACCACAGGAGGCCCGCTAAAGTAGACAGACTTGCAGCCGTCTCTGTGCAGGGCACCCAGGCAGTAAGATCCCAGTGGGGGCAACTTGCCTATCAGAAACATGCTACCAGTCCACTTGGGGCCCCGCCCTCCCGCCAAGGCATAGCCTGGCTCCTAGAGTGGGCCCTTGCCAGCCACCTCAGGCCAAGGAAGACTCGGGCCGAGTTTCTGGCTTCAGACCTCAGCGTTGGCACGGCCCTGGCCATTCTGGGCAGTTGAGGCACAAACGAAGGAACAGGAGTGTGCAGTTTCTCACTGTGTCTTTCTCAAAAAGCTGAGGCCACGAGAGGCGTCGCTTCGGGTCCGGGAGCCAACCTGCTGATGGGAGGGTGGACTGGGTTGTGTGCCTGGCATGACTCGGGCAGAGGGCTTGGGTGGACCCAGAGCGACCTGCACCCACAGCCTCACGTTCCGCGGAAACGGGCAGTTAGTTTATTGATTTCCTCAGGAAAACACTGGCTACGGGAGCAGGGAAAGACGACTACATGCAGAGAAAGAATTCAACAGTATGTTGAGCAGGAGGCGGCAGCCAGGGCCTTTCCGCTCTGCCTGGGCCGGGGCCGCGCTCGGAACGTGCACAAACTCTGCGCCTAAGCGGCCTTTGCAGCCTGGTGGGACGCCCCCACCGCCGGGCGAGGGCAGGCGCGGTGGGCCGGAGGGTGTTCCGCGTGGCCAAGAGGGGAGTCCTCCCGTAAAGGGGTCGTCGCCGCCCTTCGCTGTGCGGGCAGGGAAGCGTCGGGGGTAGGGCCCCAGCACGCAGCGCCCAGCTCCGAGCCGAGGGCAGGGCGCAGGGTGGCCTGCAGGGCCGGCAGGGGTGGGCCGCGTCCCCGGCAGGCGCGGGGGTGGGCTGCGTCCCCCCAAGGCCGGCAGGCGCGGGGTGGGCTGCGTCCCCGGCAGGCGCAGGGATGGCCTGCGTCCCCCCAGGGCCGGCAGGAGCGGGTGTGGGCCGCGTCCCCGGCAGGCGCGGGGTGGCCTGCGTCCCCGGCAGGCGCAGGGGTGGCCTGTGTCCCCCCAGGGCCGGCAGGCGCGGGGTGGGCTGCGTCCCTGCTGCCGGCGGGCGCCGGGCCCGGGGCGGGCCGGGGCGGGGCGCGGGGCGGGCAGCGGCCAGGTGAGGAGGGTACACAAAGCGCGCCCCGCCCCCTGACGCGTCCCGGCGCCGCTATAACCGCACGCCCCGCCAGCGCCGCCTCCCCGCGCCCGCTGACCACGCCGAGCGCTCGCGTTCTCTACCCCGTGTCCCAGCCGTCCTGCCTTGCCTGCCTTTTGTTGGATCTGTGCTGAGGGGTTTTTCTGCTTTTGTGATCAGCACTATTTGTTGGCCACGACCCTGCCTAAGACGCACGCGTGAGCCCTCCCGGGAGCGCGGAGAACACGAGCGAGGTAGCGAGCGCGGGGCGCGAGTTGGGGGCCGCATTGCCCCCCCATGCCCGCCCCTGGTTAGGGAAAGGGACCCGGCCGCGACTGCCGTGCGTCCCAGGGAACGGCCAGGTCCCACATCGGGGTTCTAGGTGGCAGAACTGGGCTAGTGGGGTTGGGCGGTTCTCTGTCGCGGAGACGGCCGGGCGGGTTTTGACAATCAGCGGGCGCGGTTGCATCAGTTCCTGCCTGGGCTGGAGGAGGGGAGGTTGGGGGTGCGCGGCCCGCCCTGGGGCCCCAAGGGGCGGCCCCGTCCGGGAAGGGTGCACGGGGAGGGGGGGCAGTCGACCTTGTGTTGATGGGGGCGGGGGCACAGTGCCTGGTCGCCCCGTCGAGGAGGGGCGCTGGGGTGGGGGTTGGCAAGTGACAGGGACCGGGGTGGTCCTCCCGGGGCGCGCTGCGCTCTCCGGGGACGCGGCTGCCGCAGAGCGCGCCTCCGGGGGTCCGGCTGCGCCCTGGCGCGCCCCGCGCGAGGGGGAGGCCCGGAAGCCGGCGGTGCGGCGGCCCGGCGCATCCCTGCTCTGTACTTTTCCGCCCGCTGCGCCCCGCCCGCCGCGCCTGGTACTTTTCCACTCGGGCCGGGGCGGAGCGGGGCGTCACGTGAGCGCGCTGCGGGGCTGACGCCGCCTCCGCCACCTTCAGCAGCAGGCGGCGGGGTCCGTTGCAGCGGCAAGGACAAAAGGAGCTCGCGCGGGGCGGCATGAGGAAGGCCGAGATGGGCAGGTTCAACATTTCTCCAGACGAGGACAGCAGCAGCTACAGCTCCAACAGCGATTTCAACTATTCGTATCCCACCAAGCAGGCGGCCATGAAGAGGTGGGTGGGCGCTCCGGGCGGGGGGTGGGGGGTGGGGGGTTGGGGAGCGCCCGGCTGAGGGTCCCGTGTGCGGGATGGGTTTGTTTTATAGCCACTATGCGGACGTGGATCCCGAAAACCAGAACTTCTTACTCGAGTCGAATCTGGGGAAGAAGAAATATGAGACAGACTTTGTAAGTTAAAGATGATACTCTTCTCGGTGTTGCTGTGGTTTTTATGCAGTCATCGGTTTTTTTGTTTTGTTTTCCGTATATTTTTAGTTTTGCTTTTAGATTTCAAATCTGACTTGCCCAAAGCTGGTTTTCTCCGTTTAATTCTTGTTATATGTTTGGTTATCGTTTTCCCTCTGTGTAGCATCCAGGTACTACTTCCTTTGGAATGTCAGTATTTAATCTGAGCAATGCGATTGTGGGCAGTGGAATCCTTGGGCTTTCTTATGCCATGGCTAATACTGGAATTGCTCTGTTTATGTAAGTATGTGTAAGTAGCGAGTCTGTGGTGCAGGGCAATTAATGTGACCATAAGAAAGTATGTTGGCTCCAGAAACTGAGTTTACGCTGAAGCAGTTGAACATTTCAGACCCGTGTGTGCTACCACCTACGGCACAGGGTCTGGAAGCCGGTTAGCTAGATAGGGGCGTGGGGAGAGGGCAGCTCCAACAACAGCCCCAGGCACTGGTCAGTGGAGCTGGTCTTTGCAGAAACTGCACCGCGTTGGACAGTCACTCCTGATAAGTCTTGGGCAGCTGAGAAACACTGGTACGTGTGGCGCCTCCAAAGGCACACGGCCAAGTTCTTCCCCAGACCTCTGGCCGCACATGGGTAAGGGGAGAAAAACCTCGTGAGTGCATAATGTGTGCTAGCCATTCACCTAGCCTGGAACATTGGTTTTAAAACTAGTGACACTCCTAATTACTCTGAGTGTTGGAGAGTGATCTATTTTCTTTCAGTGTTTCTCATTTTCAGATCCATGTGATTGCCACATCTTGTGGCAGAAGTGGAATATCTGAATTAGTACCAATTAATGTTTGCTTTTATAGACGTCCCCCCAACCCCATTGCCCAGTTAGCCGGGATTTTTCCTGTGCTCTCTAGCCTGTAAGTACCCGGGTAGGATGATACAGGAAGACCAGGGCTCACTAGTCCTTGGAGACTGACAAAGAATAGATGTATTTCCAGGAACAGAGCACAAAATGCAGATTCAAGCACGTCCTTCTGGTGGGTGGTTGTGGCCCAGCTGCAGACTCCCACCCAGCTGGGAGCATGAAGCTCTGACTTAACCGATGCCCCGCACGAGGGGAGGGTTGCTGCTGGGTGAGCCAAATGCTGCGGTTCGCTGACTGGCGCCACTTCTCCGAGACATTCACACCAAGCCGAACCTACGCTGGGTCTTATGAGGGAAGAGCCAGCTAGACTCCCTTGTTTAGGACACGCTAACGTGGAGGCCCAGGAGTTGAGTTTGCAAGGAATGGAGCATTGTGGGGTTGTAGCGAGGCGCTTAAAGGGTGTTCTGGATGCACCATTGAAGCCCTTGTTGGCTCTTGGTGTGAAAACCAGAGGCAGTTGTAAAATGCTGCCAGTGTGGTCACGGTTCACTTGAAAGCGATAAGATGGAAATTGTTTGCACAGTCAAAGTCTGACTCTTGGCACTTGGGAAGTCACCTGTGCTTTGCTAAGTGCTACAGTGTTGGCTCACCCATCTGTGGAGTGGGTAGATGATTTTAACCTGTCAGTCTGCCATGTGTGGGGTGGGGCAGCGGGGAGAAGGCTGCCATGCCAGCTCTGGCAGCCTCCAGCCAGCCCTGTTCCTGGGCAGCTGTCTCCAGGTTGGAGGCATCCCTGAAGCTGACACACTCCTCTGCTGCTCGTGGCCGTTCTAGTGGCAGACACAGAAGGACTTGATGAATTTATGTTTCACCACACTGGCATCTTCCACTTAGAGGAGCCCTGGTCATGTGCAAGGAGAACCTGTTTGCTGCAGTGTTCAGACAGGCGATGGCTCTCCATTTTGCCTGGCTGGAAGGAAAGTAGGCTGGAGATGGCACTTCTGTCCTATAGGAAAGCTGGGCCTGCACAGGTGATCTGGAGTCCCTCCCACCAAAGAAGTACAAGTGGAAGTTGCAGGAAGGACTGGCAGCCAGCTGGTCAACCACAGGCACTGTTGAACTTTGTGACAAGGCAGAGTGCAGCCATGCATTGTCCCAGGGGCCTCTTGGCCTTGTGCCCAGTGTGTAGTGCTTGGGGCTTCCAGCAGGCGGGTGCTTGCACCTTATCAAGGCAGTCCATGTGGTCTTGAGACCTTTCCTGAACCTATCTCGGTTGTCTGTCCCCAGAGCTGATGGGTTGATTGGCTAACATGCTGTAGATGGTGGGGAGGGGACTGAAAACAGAACAGTGGCCGGTGCATAGCGAGTCAATGCCAGACCCCCTGCTGGGACTGAGCCCAGCTCTTAGCCAGTGAGTGCTGTGGGTCTGTCACTGTCAGGCAGGAGAAAATGGTTATGCTTCAGGCAGCAGGGATAGGGGCCCCCCACGCCTGGGGGCATTTTGGCACAAGTTAGAAATTCCCAGCTTAATATGACTTAACCCAACGGGAGCTATGCTTGTTTCTGACCCCTTGCCTTTCCTTTCCCCATCAGAATTCTCTTGACTTTTGTGTCGATATTCTCGCTATATTCTGTTCATCTCCTTCTGAAGACTGCCAACGAAGGAGGTAGGATAAGACTCCCGCACATCCTTAGTTTATGCGTGTCGTGATCTCCGGCCTCTTGGTAAACGTGTGCCTGGTATATCTGCCCTCCCACTTGCAGGGTCTTTGTTGTATGAGCAGTTGGGACACAAGGCATTTGGGATGGTGGGGAAGCTCGCCGCCTCAGGTTCCATCACCATGCAGAACATTGGAGGTAAGACCCGTGGAGAAGGCTTTGCTTGTGGTGTAGCGCAGTGCACCAGGAGAGAATGTCCCATGGCACATTTTGCACTTGTAATGGTATAATTTTGTTTTCCTCCAGCTATGTCAAGCTACCTCTTCATAGTGAAATATGAGTTACCTTTGGTGATCCAGGCATTAATGAACATTGAAGATACAACTGGGTAGGTGCTAAGTAAGGTTACTCATAAGAAACAATTATAGCCTCAGATGGTTAGATACATCTTACCATAGTCGGATATAAAGGTAAATATCCATGCATATTCTGTGGAAACCCGTCAACCAAGAAGCCAGAGGGAGTGGTTCACCTGTGACGCTCTGCCTACCTGCCTTCTAACCTGTGTGTGGAAAGGAGCTTTTTAGATCTCACTGTGTCTTTGTGGTCTCGAGCATGTTAACAGCTGTTGAGTCAGAAACTCGACTATGCTTAGGTCTGAAGCTGCAAATTGACCTCAGAAGGCAGTGCAGTGCCTGTCTAACTTTCTGTTAAGTGTAAAACTTGTACAATTTAATCTGCTTCCTGTAACATGCCAGGTCTGCCGTGCAGTGCAGCACTGGAGGGCCTGCTCTCGCAGCAGGGTAGCTCAGGCTGCCAGCAGACCACTAGGTAGATGAGTGGTACCCTCCCACTGAGAGAAGAGACCGTTGATTCAGTAAGTGGGTCTCCACCGACATGAGTGCAGGTCACAAGCCAGGTAGAATGGGAAGGTAGGGGCCTCCGAGTCGGGGACTACCTACAGTACCCAACGAGTGCTTTTTCTCCGTTGAGGAAGGGGTCCTTGGGCTTGCTTTGGGAGCAAGGTGGGTACAGGTGTCACAACATGACCTGACAACCTACAGTGAGTCCTGGTTTGGGGGATTGTTTTTCATGGTTTGGTTTCAAACCTGTACTGAGCATGAAAAACAACAACAGGTGGAAATGTTTAGTAAGTATGCTTGCCCACAAATGGTCTGGGAATGGAAAAACCTTGTTTTAAAATGTCCGTTTCTAGCAGTAGAAATCACAAGGTGAAGGTCACCACTGAGTTGGTGTATAGATTTTTCTAAAAGTGCTTCAAGATAAGATTCCTGGCTGAACAAAGCGGCCTTGTTGCCTCTGGGAGCATTTCATGTTGTGAGGCAAATGGCAGCCTTCCCAGTCAACAGTGGGACAGAAGTTACACTGTTTCCCACCCGGGTTCCAACCTGGGTGGGTTCTCCAGCCCCCAGTGAGGAAGTGACTGCTCTCCTGACTAAGGGATTTTTTCCCAAGCCTGCCTTCTCTGTATCCGTGTAGGTGTCGGTGTTCCTGACGTTTCACCAGAATAAAGGTTTTTGTGTCTGTGTGACTTTGCCTTTCTCCAACCCAGGTTGTGGTACCTGAACGGAGACTACCTGGTCCTGCTGGTGTCACTGGTGCTCATTCTGCCTCTGTCACTGCTGAAGAATTTAGGTGAGCAGGCCTCCCGGGGAGTGCAGGAGGCCGCTGCCCAGTGCAGAAGCTCTCCCTGCTGGGCCTGAGCCCGCCTCGGCAAGCCTCTCTCTTCCCTTCCAGGGTATCTGGGCTATACCAGCGGCCTTTCTTTGCTCTGTATGATGTTCTTCCTCGTTGTGGTATGTATTCTCTTCCTTCGGGAAAGGTTTCTTACAAGCCCTGTCAAGACTGGGGAGTCTTAACAAGTGCAAACTAATATTTTCAGGTGATCTGCAAGAAATTCCAGATTCCTTGTCCAGCGGAGGTCACATGGCTGCTCAATGAGACCATCAACGGCACCTTGATCCAGCCAACGGCCCTTCTGACTGGTGCGACGGCTAATGAGACACTTCCTGACACCTGCACGCCACGTTATTTCATCTTCAACTCCCAGGTAAGCAGATGCAGTCCGTAAAGAGGGAAGTTTTCCTCAGGAAATGTAAAAACTACTTCCCAAGGTCAAGTGCAAAGGGATAATAGGTACTTTTTAGAACACATGTGATGAGTTAATTACTGAGGACTGGGCCGCAGTTGGAGTGCTACAATAGCATGGGAACTCCTCACGGGGTAGAGGAGTTGACGCATTCGGAGGCTCCGTTGCTGTTGACCACCCCTGGTGAGAAGGCTGCAGCTGGTGACGGCAGACTCCGGGCTTTGCGTGAGAATGTGTGACGCGCAAGCCGCGGGACAGCGTGGGGCCAGGTGGTAGGTCGTGCATTGAGTGGCTTTTCTGTGTTTTCCAGACTGTCTACGCCGTGCCCATCCTGACCTTTTCGTTTGTCTGTCACCCCGCCGTTCTTCCAATCTACGAGGAACTGAAAGAGTGAGTGTTCTTCATGTGACGGGGCGGTTCTAGCCTGTTCTGACCCGTGCTGGGACACACGCTCACTCTTTCTTGTGAATCTGTAGCCGCAGCCGTAGGCGGATGATGAGTGTGTCCAAGATCTCCTTCTTTGCCATGTTTCTCATGTACCTGCTGGCTGCGCTCTTCGGCTACCTGACGTTTTACGGTAAACCAACAAAACCTCGTTTGTTAAAGCGCACACACATACACACACACACTTAGCGAAGTGAAGCTGATGCTTGTCTGTGTCTGCTTACAGTCTCTAACAGCCTTCTGTATGTTCACATATTGAAGATACCAGCTTGACGGTTCAAAATTTCCTGTTGTGTATGTGATCAATAAGGATTAGATCCAGGGTTAAAATCACTGCTTTAGTCCACACTTGGCCTGAGTTCCATTTGCTTTGCTTTTCCACTGTATTCCCCACACTGTGAAATGCAAGGACGAGCCTCGCTCTCCCTCACACTGTCACACAAGCACCCTCGCTCTCCCTCACACTGTCACACAGGAGCCTCGCTCTCCCTCACACTGTCACACAGGAGCCTCGCTCTCCCTCACACTGTCACACAAGCACCCTCGCTCTCCCTCACACTGTCACACAGGCGCCTCGCTCTCCCTCACACTGTCACACACAGGCTGAGGCCTCACACTGTATCACACACTGAGCCAAACCTGAGATTTAGTGTTTTAGCTCCTGTTGTTTTTAATGGGGGTCATGTGGCTAAATCTGTTCTTGGCATTTAAAAACCTTTGCTTCAATGTTGTTTTAATTGCATTAGCCGTAATTCCAAATTAATCGTATTAGCCTCTTAGTTGGTGGGTCTGTGAGTAGCCCGCAGCCTGCTCGATGGGACGTGACTGGGTTCTGAGGCTGCTCTTCCCCACAGAGCACGTGGAGTCGGAGCTGCTTCACACCTACTCCACGGTCATGCAGACCGACGTGCTGCTGCTCATCGTCCGGCTGGCTGTGCTCATGGCCGTCACCCTCACCGTGCCCGTGGTCATCTTCCCGGTAAGCCACTCCTGCACTACTTGCACTCAAAGTCTGTGGAGCTTCTTTTTCCTTTTCTTTTTTTAATGACTTTATTTTAAGCTTTATTTATTTGAAAGGTAGGATTAGAGAAAAGAGAGACAGATCTTCCATCTGCTGGTTCACTCTCCAAATGGCCACAACGGCTGGAGTGTGCTGCTCCAAAGCCAGGAGTTTCTTTGGGTTCTGCTTTGTGAGTGCAGGGGCCCAAGCGCCTGGGACATTCTCTGCTGCTTTCCCAGACACATTAGCAGGAAGCTGGAACAGAAGTGAAGCGGCTAGGACCAACCCGCACCCATCTGGGATGTTGCTGCCACAGATGGCAGCTCTTCTCAAATACACCATGGCACTGTCCTGAAGGAATGAGTTTTTTATTAACCCATGGGGATTTGCTGAGACAAGAGGTTTCAAGCAAAAGAAAAGGCAAGCAGTTTCGAGGGGATTTAAAAAAAAATACATAGCTGTGGGACTGTTTTGCTCTGTAATTGAATTTATATGACGATCCTTTTAGATGTTTAGGTAGTCAGATAGTAACCAGGGCACAGTGGGGCTTCAGCGACGGGTGCTGTGGCAGGTGCGTGCCCTGTTCCTGGGGATGCTTTGCTCTTGACGTGCTAATGTTCTGCTGCCGCCTTTCAGATCCGGAGCTCCATAACTCACTTGTTGTGTGCATCCAAAGACTTCAGTTGGTGGCGGCACATTCTCATCACCGTGTCTATCTTGGTGTTTACCAATTTGCTGGTCATCTTTGTCCCTACGATTAGGGACATCTTTGGTTTCATTGGTAAGTTGTGCCAAGCATGCCTGAGGATTTAAATGCTGGGAATTTTCAGGTTTCACCAAGGAGTGAGTGACTCCCCGAGTTCTCAGCTGTGGATGTCCCTTGCAGGTGCGTCGGCAGCAGCCATGCTCATCTTCATCCTCCCATCCGCCTTCTACATCAAGTTGGTGAAGAAAGAGCCCCTGGTATCTGTGCAAAAGATTGGGGTGAGTGAGCAAGCAGCGGCAGTTGTGCGCTTCACTGTGTTGTGGCTGTGGGGCTTTCGGGGGGAGGCAGGACGCGGTGTTCTGCCATGCAGCAGGAGGGCCCTGGAGGCCCAGGCCTGTACTTGGCTCTGCCTGTTGTGTGCACTCGGCACATCTCTGGGGAGAGGACATGGGTATGTGGTCCAATGAGACCCTGCCCCAAAGGAGGGGCCTCACAGCCCGCCTGCCCTGAGTTGAAGTAGCAGCCAGAGGAGGGAGGGGGACTGGCAGAGCCCAGAGTATGTATATCTGCTTCCAGAACCCTGGCTGGGACTGCGTTTCACCACTATGCTGGTATGTTGATGAGAGATCTGGGGTTGTCTGTGCACCCACTCTCAGAGGTAGGGGTGGGTTAGGGAGAAGTGTAACGCGGTTGCTCCTCCCCGCAGCCTGCATTGTTTGCACTGCGGCTCTGCACATATGTGACATAGTGTGTTCCCATCTGGAGGATGAGTGGGATAATGGGACAGCCCCTTGGCCATCTTGAGCGTGGCATGGAGATGATCACAGCTCTTCTGTGCCCACACAGGCGCTGCTGTTCTTGCTGAGCGGTGTGGTGGTGATGGCGGGCAGCATGGCACTCATCATCCTGGACTGGGTGCACAACCCCACCACGGGCGGCCACTAGTCGGCACCATCCCCAGAGCCACGATGCCAGTGTTGAGTCTTCTCAACTATGATATCTCACCTGATATGTTCAGTTTCACTTCCTTTCGAAGTGCAGATTCTTTGCGCGTTCTTCTGAGTGCAGAATAAGTGAAATTTTTTTTTTTTTTTTTTAAGAAACTTACCTGTATGTTAGAAGTGGATATTAACAGCAAAACCACGAGTCTCGGGTTAAGGGAAGTGACAATTTTATTCCATTCCAGAGAATGGACAAATTCTTAACTTTTATCAAGCCACATGTTTGGCTGTGTCATTGTTTAACTTGGATATTTTATGCTTTTACTTGAATGTGCCTAATGGAGTCATTCGACGTGAGAAACAATTCTTAATTTACAGCAAGGAATTGAAATAACCATTGAGAGAAACACTATTATTTTTTGTACCAAAAATACTTAAAGACCTCAGAAGCACTATTTTACTTTGAAGAAATTGCTTTTTTTAAAAAAAGAAAAAACAAAAACTTTATCCGGAAACGGTTGTCAGTAAACTCTGTACAAAGTGATATTTAAAAACAGTAATACTATGAAATGATTTGCCTTTTTGTAGGTATAATAAGCCAAAACCTTTTTTTTTAACCCAAAATAACTTTGGGAGACAATGACCTCGTGATGTGGTATCACAGTTCTGGTGCGTGGTCTTCCACCAAACTTGGCCTGACTGAAGGTGGCGAGTTCAGTTCACCGGCTCTTGAACTTCCATGTTCGCTCATTCTTTGTTCCCAAATAGTTGGGCTCAGATTGAAATGTTCAGGTCTCCAACCCCTGTGGATGGAAGCTAATACAGATATTTCTATCGAAAATGTAGTAATTTGGGGTTCCAAATTGTGCTGCTGGATCAAACAGGGTTTGTTCAGTTCCATCTGACTGCAGAGCTGTGTGGGCAGCTCTGGGCCCACCCCTTTTGGACATTGCTTCTAGCAGTGAAGAACAGATGTTGGCTGGCTTGATGTCAGAGCACAGCTTTTCAAAATGCTCATGTCCTGGAAGTGGGAATCAACTTGACCGTGTGCAGCGTGGCTGTGTTTGTGTTTAGTTTACAGTAGGACTCCCACCGCAGGTCATACCAGTACTGGTGTAATTCAAGTCCCCTCTTTGTGTAGGCCACTGGGTTTCTCATGCAGTCAGGATTGTCATCTCATTCTTGTACAACATGGAATTCTGTTTACGTCCAGCAAGTGGGCTGCGAAGGGAGCAGTGGGCAGGGGCATGCGTTCTGGTTCGCCCCCGTTGCAGCCACAGTCAGAAGTGGGCACGCTGCTCTGAGCCTTGGCTTGAAGAGAATGATCGCTGTATTTCGCAGTGTGGTTCCATCATGTGGTACTTGACTCAGCAGCGTCACATGCATAATTCCATCAAGTGGTTAAGGGAAGCAAATAATGGATTCGTCCACTGTTCATCTGGCTGCAGGGTTCTCTCTCTTGAATATTTCTCCTGTTGGGCCAGGGCTAGAAAGAGGGCAGACATGGTTTTGTTACATGTTCTTATATTCTCTGTGACTGAATGATACACAGGCAGGGTGCCTATGATGAAAGACCCTTACAGAACTGGAAGACGTCTCATGGTGCCTCACTGGGGGAAACCCGTGGTCCGTTTTGTCTTCTGCAAACACGTCATCTGGGACCAGGCAGAAACTGAACTGGCAATCCTGTACTCCCATCTCGTAACTGGGCTTTGGGTACAACCACACCAATCCACAGCCTCAACACTGGCTCCAGCAAGAGCCATGCTTGTGCTCATCTGGTGTCTGAACTGTGTGTGTGTGGGTAAACTCCCTGGCATTCAGCCGGGAAGAGGAAGTGAGGCTGTTGCCGCTCAGTCACCTGCCTGGGTTCGTCCCTTCTGTGCCCTGAGGTCCTGTGCATCCCCTGAACGAGCAGTCTTCAGTATTAACCACTGTCATCACCTCCTCTTGCATTACTGTCTTCCATGGGTATTTCAGTTGTAACTGTAATGTTATTTATAGAACAGCATTAATCCATGAGAGCTAACCTATTGCAATATTTATGATACCTGTACATACATCATCTGCCTATGTATTTGTAAATAGGTTGTATATAGTGTCAAGTGGGGATGTCTTGGGTTCAAGTGTATATACTCCTGTAAGATTTCTTCACTGCAGTTTGGTGGCTCCCCGTTATATATATAGATGTGTGTGTGTGTAACAATTGTCCCCAGAGTCTGCACAGAGAATACAGGATTAAAAAAAAAAGGTACACATTGTGTACAAACCCCATCAATTTAAAATGTTCATTTTAGTTGTATTCACAACAAACTGTTGGCCATTGGTGTTTTTAAATGAAGATCTGGTTGGAGTTCAGACCCCTGCTTTGAGTCCACCTGTTCCAAATGCAGTTGATTGGCAATGTGATGGAGTGTGATGCAGGCCTTCAAGAACCAGGGCATGCTGACTGCCTGTACATAGATGTAAATATCTTCACAGTGTGTCGGGCCCTGACCCACAGGGCTGGTTGACTGGGAGTGCTGTGCCCACTGTTTCAATGAAATCATGTATGTTTGTTGTAACGAAACTAAAATAAACACTTGCTTATTCCTCACTGGCAGTGGTGGTGATTTTGAGATCGTGGGGTAGTGGGATCATGCCCAAGTTGGGTGTGAGTCTGGCAGCTAGCCTAATGAGGCAGATTTGGGGGAAATGGGATAGAGGTTTGTGGCACTGGCAGGAGGTGCCAGCAAGCCTCTGAAGATGGGGCCAGCTACGTGTGCTAGTCTGCAGAGGTCTTTGAAGAAGCTCCGCATACTCGAGGGCTAGGCCCGACCTGTTCTAACTGGCGAGGGTCTGGCCCTTGGTTTTCCATCAGGGAGCTGCTGCATGGTTCCGTGCACAGTGCATCTTGGGAGCACCGAGAGGCCAGGACAGAGACTCGGGCTGGACAGGACAGGAGAGCATGGGTGCCAGCCAGGGGACACCTGAGTGGCTGGAAGAACAGTCTACCAAGAAACGTGCGACGGTCAGGTATGAGACAAACTGGGTGATCTAGGCTCAAAGCGTGAAGGTGGGATGGGTGGCCACCAACCCTGGAGCCGGCAGTGCCAGGGGATTGGCAGCAAACTTGGGTGGGAGAGCTGTGTGGTGTTTAAGTGTTGCCGAGCCCCCAGCAGGCCTCGGGGAAGGGTTGCACATTGCAGTTTCTCCCTGCATACTTATGCCAACCCTAGCACGGTGATGGTCCTGGCATGGGGACAGCGGGCAGAACTGCTGCTGAGGACACCCAGGGCATTGGCTTGAGTCCCAGCAGCTCAGCTTCTACTCCAGCTACTTGTCACTGCAGCTGCTAAAGCTGCTAAGGCAAGATGGCCCACGTGCTGGCACCCCGGATGGGATCTGGCTGCTGACTGTGGCCTGACCCAACCAGCCCTGGCTATGAGCACCTTTGAGGAGAGAACCAGTAGATGGGAGAATGAACTTACTTGTTCCGTGTCACTCTGCCTTTTGAATTCATTATTTTCACTTATTTATTTTTTACAAAAAACAAAGCAGGATGAGCCAACTTACAGAATGCCAGGTGAGTCTGCATGAGGCAGATCCTCTCCCGAGAAGCTCCACATTTCCTGAGGAAGAATCCTTGGGAACAATCGGAGTGTGGCTGATTGGGATACCAATCATGGCTTGGAGACGCTTGACCATCTGCCTTCCGTCCATTTAGCAGAGAAGTCCCAATGGAGAGAAGTTACTAGCAGGAAAGTGAACTGTCTCAGAGGAGTAGGCAAGTTTGTGCTCCGAACATTTGTAGGAGAGCGTGGAAGATTCCAGCTGCAGGGCAGGCTCTCTCAAGCAGCTGTCACCGGGCCCACTCCTTCTCGCGGAGGCTGGGCCAGGAGTTAAGGAAGGCCCCATGGTCCTGGGCTGGAAGTGGGACCACCGACTGTCCCAGCTTAGGCCTGCCAGTCCTGCATTCTGGCACATTCCCAAGAACCAGGCAGTCTGGGCTGACTAGAGACCCCAAGGCAGAAAAGGCACAGCCTGGAGATGCCGGGAGAATTCTCGGCATTTCCTCCTTAAGATGTCACACAAGGCGCCAGCCTTGATTTTTTGGCTGAAATCACGTGTTCTCTGGTTATCTGCACCCCCTCCAAGCATTGCACACTTCACAGAGCACCAGGCAGTCTCTTCCTGCACGCCGCAGCCCCCTGCACGCTCATGCACTTGGAGAATAAACACACCTTGGACGTCCTGCTCTGTGGGAGAGGCACGGCTCCAGACTGACCAGGAGTTCAATGAAGGCCTGCAAGAGGCCAGACCCCGAGGCCAAGGCTGTAGTGGGCCCTCCTAAGGCATGTCTGCCTCCCTGGCCCTTGGGGGCCTGCTTCTGCAGCCTGTTGGCATGCACAGGGATTTCTGGCACAGGCACACTTCCCCAGGCGCAATTGTCCCCCTTCCCTTCCTCCTGCACCCCCACAGAGTCAGCTGCTCAACTGCCTGCCTCGAACGAGCCCGATGGGCATGGTCCTGGGCCACTTCCTGCTCTGGGGACTGCAGGAGGCCACACTGAACTTTCTGGAGGATCTTGCCCTCCTTGCTGTGTCCCAGTCTGGGGAACCATGGCTGGCCACGCAGCAGGATTCACCACTGCCCCCTAGCACGGGGGCCCTGTGGTCCTTGGCTGGGCAGGAGCACTGCTCGGTGACTCTGCTTTGGGGAGGTCCTGTAGGCCGGGGCTGTAGCTCTCTGGGCTACAGGCACAAGAGTTTTACTCCTAGAACAAGTCAGCAGCGAATGTCACATTCAGGTAAGACATGGAGTAAGTCTTACTGAATTGGATCTGGGGACCACATCTTGACTTGCCTAGCCCCTCTGGCTCTGTTCTTCAAGGTCCCTCTCTCAATGCATGCAGCCTTTGTGGGCAGTGACAGCCATTGCCCCTAGAGGATTTCTGGTAAATTCTGTTCTTTGGTGTGATTTTTCTGTTGCACTGCTATAGCTGAGTCTGGTGTGGACGGCAACAGATGAGGGACAGGATAGGACCTTGGTCTCTGCCCTAATTTGGCCATTTTCCTCAACATTACCAGCAGCCTCAGGAACACCATAAGGTATGCCAAAAGCCAGGTTGCTTGAAGACAGAGAAGGGGAGAGATCTTGCCTGGAGGTGGCCCGCACAGCACCCGCTCCAGCTCAGTGGCAGTGATGCTAGCCGCTGGGAATTGCCTTTGCTGGGCTGAAAGCAAACACACTTGGGAGTGTATCCGAGCTTTAGTAATTGACCAATTTATTTGAAAGGCACAGTGGTAGGCAGAGACAGAGATGTGTCTTCCACCTGCTGGCTCACTCCACAAGTACCAGGGCTGGGCCAGACTGAAGCCAGAAGCCAGCAGCTCCAGCTGGGTTCCCCATGCTGGTGGCAAGAGCCCAGGCAGCTGGCTTGTCCCCCACCACCTGCCAGGTGCACGAACAAGGAGCAGCTGGGTCTAGAACTGGCACGCATGGGAGATGCCAGCTGCTCCGCACCCTGCTGTCTTTTTCAGTGCACAAGGAAAGGCCCGAGGAGGGAAGGGCAGGTCTTCAGGCAGGTCTCGTCCTGGCAGTCTGTGTACCACAGCCCCGGGAATCACCTGTTCAGGAAATTGGGACTAGTTCCTGCGTCCTAAACACATAACTTAAACTTCCCACGTTTGCAATATTCCTGTTCAGAATGCAGAAAGGTGTCACCCAAGGTTTCGGAAAGCGAGGGACTTGGGCAGACGGCCACTTCTCGGGATCTGCTTACATTCCAGCTGTGCTGAATGGGAGACGCCTCCCAGCAGTGCCTCACCACAGGCCTCGCCGGGTACGGAGCCAAAGGCACCACCTCTCTCTGTCTCTGAGTCCCTGCAGGGACACGTGGCTGGAGGCTGGGTCAGCACCCTGTGCTGCCGACGGAGGAGCTGGACAGAGTTAAACGGATCCCTAACTAGGGCCAAAGAAGGAAATGGGTGGAATGCCTGCGTCTCCTCTCGGAAGAGGCAGGAGCCTTATACATCCGCAAGCATTCCTCCGTCCCAGATCACTCCGGAGCAGAATGTCTGGCACTTCGCTGGCCCCGAGAACGTTCTCTCTGCTCAGGGAGAGCGGCGAGACTGTACTTCAGATGTGTGCTCTTCCTCTGAGAAGACACTGCCTCGCTGGCGCTGCGGTGCAGTGGGTGAAGATACCACCTGTGGTGCCACAATCCCACAGGAGCACCAAGTCTTGTCCCAGCCGCTTGACTGCCCAGCAGCTCTTGGCCAATGGCCTGGAAAAGCAGCAGAACGTGGCCCCGCTGCTTCCAGAAGAAGCCCCAGCTCTGGCCTGTCCCGGAGCTGCAGCCGTCTGGGGAGCAAGACAGCACAGAGATCTCGCCCTCTCAACTCAAGGTCTCCCTCTGACTTTGAAATAAACAAGTAAATCCTTAAATTTAAACAACAATGAAACCCACACATACTGGCACGCATCCACAGACTTTGAAGGACTTCCAACCATGACTTTTATTGCAAAGTCAGATACATACATAGAGGAGGAGAGACAGAGAGGAAGATCTTCCGTCTGATGATTCACTCCCCAAGTGAGCGCAACGGCCGGTGCTGTGCTGATCCGAAGCAAGGAGTCCAGATCTTCTTCTAGGTCTCCCACGTGGGTGCAGGGTCCCAAGGTTTTGGACCAACCTCCACTGCCTTCCCAGGCCACAAGCAGGGAGCTGAATGGGAAGTGAGGCCGCTGGGTCTAGAACTGGCACCCATATGAGATGCCAGCACATGCAAGGCAAGGACTTTAGCCACTAGGCTATTGCACCGGGTCCATGTCCTAGTTTTGTAAGGATGCATCCTTACATGCATCCTACCTGGATGCCCACATCTCATATCTGAATGCCAGGTTGATTCCTGGCTGCACTGCCTGCCTCTGGCTTCCTGGGAACACACCCAGGAGGCTGGGTGTGACAGCTCAGCTCGAGTCCTTGAGCTCCTGGCAGACAAGTGCAAGCCCTAGGTGGAGCTCCCAGCTCCTGGCTTCCACCTGGCCCGGCCCTGGATGTTGTGTCCATTTGGGAAGTGAATCAGCAGATTCAACCTCTCTGTCTCTCTCTCATGCTGCCTTTTGAAATTAATCTTTAAAAAAGAGATGAATTTGAGGATATTTATTCAAGACACAGATGTATGGTCCTGTGCCCAAGCAATTCATTGGCGTATGAGAGGGAAGCTTGACTTACAGCAGATTCTACCTGAGCCTTCTCTGCTCAGAACAGAGGAGCCCTGTGACCTCTGCAGGAGAGGGTAGGGGCACAGGCCCAGCTGTCTGAGCTCTGCCTTACCCCCCATGGCAGAGCTCAGAGCTGCAGGTGGCGACCACTCTAAACTTGGAGCACTGCCTTAGCTGCCCGTGTTGGATCAGTCTCCACAGCCCCATGAGGTGCGTCATATCACACTGCATGTGCAAGAGCCAAGGTTCAGCGTGGTAAGGTCTTGAATTGGAGAGTGAGGGTGACCCAGAACTGACAGATGGCCCGGGGGGGGGCTGTCAGGGAGTGGGAGCAAAGCTGGGAACTATTCTGTCTCTGCCACGGTCACCTCTGCTCCTTTCAGCTGG